AAAGTCACTGTGACTCTCTTAGGACCCCAGTGAAAGTCATTGTGACTCTCTAGTGCCCCAGTGAAAGTTACTGTGACTCTCTAGGACCCCAGTGAAAGTCACTGTGACTCTCTAGGACCCCAGTGAAAGTCACTGTGACTCTCTAGGACCCCAGTGAAAGTCATTGTGACTCTCTAGTGCCCCAGTGAAAGTCACTGTGACTCTCGAGGACCCCAGTAAAAATCACTGTGACTCTCTAGGAATCTAGTGAAAGTCACTGACTCTCTAGGACCCCAATCTAAGTCACTGTGACTCTCTAGGAATCTAGTGAAAGTCACTGACTCCCTAGGACCCCAGTGAAAGTCAATGTGACTCTCTAGGACTCCGATGAAAGTCACTGTGACTCCCTATCTTTTTCTTAAAGAATCCCAGTAAAATGTTTATTCTCGATTATCATCTTTCACAAAATCGAAATGATTTACAGTTTTAGTACATCGCGAAATATGACTTATTTAACCCTTTTCCGGTCAGGGGAGTTTCAGGCTATCAGGTTAAGTCAGTGAAAAACGGTCATGATTCAATGCCTCCAGTAGCCAGCATCTGTGCATGCTATCCTGCCAGACATTTTTGCAAAAATAGGTCATAGTTAACAGACTGTATCGACCTCAGTTTTCACATTTTTTGCAATCGTTTGCATACACACTTCATTACCACCATGGACAACAATTTCTCGTATAAAAAAAAATCACCGTTTTATTTCAATACACAGTAACGATGTTTTGCCCTTTGTACAGTCTCAATAAACACGTGTTAAACATTGAAATAAATATTGCTTAATTGAAAACACATTACAAGCTAGTACAAGGTCACTACATGAATGCAAGTTCGAAGTAAGAAGAAAAAAAACGCGCGAGTATGGGGATATTTGGGACATGTACGGGGGAAAACGTGTTTGACGTACTCGACCTGTCAGCGTACATTTTAAATTGCAACGTATATTCAACGACTTGAACTACATGTGTAACATATTACAACATACTTTCCGTGACTTGACTGATGTTATATTCAAGCTCTAACGTATATTAACCGACTTGACCGTACTAGTAATCCCACACTTACAACGTATATTTAACAACTCAAACTGAAACTAAAACGAACAAGAACGTAACTGCAACGACTTGATTCGGGGTTACCTTCACACGGCAACGTATATTCATCGACATGACCCGATTAACTAACTAAATATTTCAACGTATATTTAACGACTTAAAATAAGAACGTAGCAGAACGTAACTGCAGGGACTTGGCGTGTATATATACTCACGCAGAAACGTATTTCCCCGACTAGACCCGATGAACTATCCTGACATTAAAACGTATAAATACCAAGTGAGCATGAAACTAAATTAACGATAACGTATTTTCACCAACTCAAACTATTGTACAGTTCGTGACGCTGTAATAAGTCCCAAATTTATTTGTTGTACGCCTTTCTTAGTTATCCACCCCAGCGGGCTGCTCCCATGCGTCTGCCTGATGTCGAAGGCTGCGCTTCCGTACTTACTGTTTGTGTTTTCCCCTCAGTGCCATGTTGTGATGAAAAGCAGAGAAATATTCGCCCGCATGAAGGTGAACTTTACAAATTGGGCATCCTTTCGATGTTTCTGATAATCTGCCACTCGCTGTTTTTTTCCCGTCCTTGCTGCACTGCTTACACGATTTTTGACGCCCGGATAGTCTGCATATTTCGTGCGAATCCATGTTTTCACTACGAATAAATGACGTGTTACTTGGAAGAGAGCCAACTTCTCTTATGGATTTTTGAATTCTACTCGAGTGTCCACCAATCAGTTGTTTACCTGTGCGGATATTGAAGAATTTGTGTGTTACTTTAGTCGTGCGATTCAATGCCTTGAAACATTCATAAGCATTGACCAATGCAACATTTATGATGTAACAGGCCATGTAGATCCACCAACGATTATTTTTTCTGCCCGTGTGATAGTATTTTAGCCTTTGGTTAGAACTATCCACGTCACCCATGTGATCTCTCGTCATATACTGCTTCTGCCGACATAGGCAGTGGGGGATAGACTGTATTTAAAATCAATATTTGCGCGCTGTCATCCTGGTATGCAGTAATATTGATAGTGTCGTCCGGTCTAGTTGCTGCTTTCATTTCACCAATTTTCAATTTCAGCTTCTTGCTTTTCCCCTCAGGAATTAATTGCGGCGGCATGGTTTTCCGATTTCGTCTGCTAAAACTACCGACCATTTACACTTTCTTGTCTTGTAATTTAAGGGCTGTGTTAACTGACGTAGAAAGCGAATCACAGAAAAGAATGTTTTTTTTCTGTGAAGGGCTGTAGCAACCGGTGTGTTGTCTTCTTGATTGTCCCAGTTTCTTTCCTTCTCCCCTCATTTGTAGTTTTATATTTCACCTCCAAATATGGTTCAAAGTTTGCAATGTAAGACGTTGTCGAGTTGCACACCTGCCATATTTTGAAGCCATTGCAGTCGGGTTTGTGGGGCAATCTCTGCTTAAACTTGGACCGTCCCTTGAATCTAACCATACCCTCATCAATCAAAATTTCCTGTCCCATCTGGTAGTATCGCCGGCAATTTTCGAGTACGGATTTCAGCCACGGGTTGATTTTATACAACGGGTCGGCCTCTGATCGTTGACGACG